GGGGACCATTCTTATCATTTTCAGCAAGTTAAATTATGTCGGTTTGCCAAGTTTCATGGTTGTATAGTTAACAGAAATAGATTTACCATAGTAACGTATTTTGAGTACTGGGCACAAGTACCCCAGGCTAAAAATAGCACAAGGGTTTTTTTCCCAAAATGATTCTATATTCTATCTTGTTACGCATACCGAATTCTATATTTTCACCAAGTTTCATGCTTTTATCACAATTTTCACGATTGTTATCTGTCATGAACCTTATCAAACTCACTACTACATTACATCAAAACATCTCTTCGTGTCCACCACTTTACGTCACAAGGTCACGTGACACAGTGGTCCGACCGCGTTCTCGCTCCGCCATCGATGAGGGCAAATTTCGACTTTAAAAACTTAATAACTTAAAAACTACATAACGTATTAAAAAAATTCAAACGGTTTTGGAATCAGCACGGGAACCTTTATCAGTGGTAAAAAAATCGTTTTTCACTTCAGTTCCCCTTTAAAGTAAGGTATTCATTTTTCGTTTCTTAGTTTTAGGCAATGTGGCATGCCATTTTGGAACGCGCTGCCTAAAAGCAAACCATACAAGCTGGCCATATTTCACATAAAGTAACTTGCAGCAATGCTGTCTGAAGAGGCAACCAGTACGAGGAATTTCAAAATCACCTGTGTTTCCAGCAGTTCACCCTCAAAGTCTTGAATACAGTTGGTTGAAACTATTTACATTTAGAGCAATCTGTGTATTAGACTAATCGGGGAGACTGTCATCAGGGAGATAAGCAAAACGTTTTTGGAAAGGAAGACTTTTGTTCAGTTTTACGAATTAACATTGCAAAAAATTCGACAACAGATGTAATAATTTGCAGTTCTTCTTAGACATCTAGCGACTTTGTCGCTTATATATCATTGGACAGTGACTGTCACCGCCAGGGACGGACTTACCGGGTGATGTGGGGGTGCGATACCCCCCCCCCCATATTTTTGCGTTATCCGGTAAATTGTGTGTTGATTCGGTAAATAGCTTATTTGGTAGTCAGTAGTGATGAAATAGCACCAAATTTCTTCTTTATTTATCTTCTTGTCGAGTCAGTTGTAGTTTCTCTTTCAGTATTATAAACTACTTGAAATCGAAGAACTCTTCAAAGCGATGTGAGACGAAAATGTATTACCAGCAGGATGTGATAATAACCTAAGACGCATTATCTTTGTTGGTGTCATAGACATCCGCAGCACCAGAACAGCCTCCCGTGGTATCACCGTAGAAATACTACGTTGGCCTAACTTTGACAGTTGTAATCTATCGACATTTTATGGGTTTCACGAAAAACAAAGGAAATCGTTACTGATATAAACTTTTATTGATCATTGACCCACCCTTTCGTATTTTGCCAGTTACATACCTGCCGGTTATTACTAAAATGCCTCCCAAAAAACGAACAAATCGGTACAATGTCAAATGTCTGGAATGTGGATCAGTCTTCGAGTTTGACTATAGTGGTAAACACAATACAATTTATCATGAGGATTTGAAACGTATGCATAAAGTGATAAGATTTGAGGTGGAGGGTGCTGCAAAAAACCCTTTTGAGGCGGCCAAACGAGCCAAAAGTTGCGGTGTCGAGATAAAAGAAAAAGAAGAGAACATACCAAGCACTTCACATTCTTTACCAATTCGTACTGATGAAGAACAAGGTTCAAGTAAACCATGTGTGCTGGATTGTAGCAATAAAAGGAAACAATTAGAGGAGTCAGAATCTTGGTTCTGAAACAAACTGCGGTGAGGGGAATAAGAGGTTGAGAAAGCATGACGATAGAAAAATTATTGCAAGAGAAGGGGTTAGAGGAAAAGAAAGAGTAAAGCTTTCTATGTAGAGAGGCAGCAAGTAACAAGTCAGAATCTATCACTATTGGCACAGTAGACAACGAGGTTGAGTTATACAATACTTTACAGCATTTCATCTTGATTTGCAACATCATATTTCTCATTCATTTTACAATGTTCCTAATCCAGCTACGTTTTTCAGTTTGAGTCGTATCTCAATACTTTAGGTTGGAAAAGAAAGATTGCCTTGTCCTTCTGTATTGCCCCAGTCTGACATTCAAGTTTCTGCGCTTCTTGCTACTATAACTGACATGCATCATAAAGCATCCAGTTTGACAGAAAAATTGCAAGAGAGTTCAGAAGAAATGTCCCTTTTTACTGACATCAGACAGTTAAGCAAGAGTCTTTGCGATGTTTCAGAAGAATTGGTGGATGCATGCAATCTCCATCTATCACTTATCGAGGAATCAAGAGGGCAGGTGACCGACGACATTGTTATCCCGCCTCTCGTTGGTCGTGATCCTGCCGATAGGCGAGGGATTCAAGTAATTACACGTCAACATCTATACCTAATTGAGCAAGGGCCTTTTCAACCAATGATGGAATCATTTCATAAGAATACTACCATTTCAAAAGGGAAGCAGAACTCTTTTAGTTTTAAGTGGTATACGGATTTTCCTCTTATAGAATATAGCATAAAGCTTCAAAAGGCATTTTGTTTTGCGTGTAGCTTGTTTGGAGATGGGGTTAGGTGCTTAAAAGCAGAAAAATCCTGTTCAGTAGAAGGCATCGACGCATGGGATAAGATGAGAAGTCGCGATACAAAGAAGGCAGGGAAGCTTACTGGCCATTTTAAAAGTGC